GGCGTCCTCACCACCCCAAATGTTTTACTATCCGTTAGAGAAGAGAAGATTTAACATGTTCTTGGATCAATTCAGGTTAGATTCAATTTTGATAAGCCAAAAAGGTAACTAATAATATAAAGAAATTTTCGCCTTTAAAAGTATTATGTTGCCGCGCGGTTGGGCTCAAGCCTGTAATCCCTGCCAACTCGTGGGGCCGAGCGCGGAGCCGAGGTCAGGAGTTCTGAAACCAGCCTTGAGCAAGGAGCGAGACCCCGTCTCTACTATAAATAGAAAGAAATTAATTGGCAATATTATATATGTAAAATTAGCCGGCGTGGGGGCCACATGCCTGTTAGTTCCAGTACTCGGAGGTGAGGCAAAGGATCGCTTGAGCCCAGGAGTTTGAGGTTGCTGTGAGCTAGGCTTGACTCCATGGCACTCACTCTAGCATGGGCAACAAGCGAGACTCTGTCTCAAAAAAAAAAAAAAAAAAATATATATATATATATATATATATTTATGTAAACCTTCTTTTTCGGTATTGCCATTTAACAGTTGTTTTTCAATTAAGCCTCATTCATTCATGATTAATTTTATTCAGCTTTTTTAAGCTGTTTAAACTTTAAAATATTGTTTCCTGTTCATCAGGAGCATTCAAGATTTAGTATTGATGAAACTAACCATTCTTTGGAGGTGAAGTAGGAAGTATGATACTTTTAAAAACCATTAGTTTGTTTGAAGATGTATACATTTAAACAAACCAAAAAAAAGGAAAACTTTTTTACTGTTTAGGGCAAAGGATAAGTACCCAGGCTTTGCGTTCATATGGTCTCTGTTACAGCTACTCAGCTGTACAGTTGTAGTATAAAATCAGCCATAGACAATATGTAAATGAATGCACATGGCTGCTGTGTTCCATTAAAATTTATTTGCCAAAAATTGCAAAAAATGTGGTGGGCTAGACTTACTTGCAGTTTTAGTTGTGCTAACTCAGCTTCAAAATTTTGTTTTGTTAGAAAGAATGCAGTATTCCAATATACTCAATCCTTAGGATTCATTCGTAATTTACCTTTATATCATTCTGATTATTTTGCTGATGATAACATACAAGTTGTTGTTAAAGACATATAATTATTTTGTCTACATATAATTTTATGTATACCAGCTTAAGGAGTTTGTATTATAAAAATTTGTTTGTAAATATAAGATCGAAGATGCACTAAAATAATTATCATACATATTGAAATCTTATTAGTTTTGAGATAATACAGAGTTGAGATAGTAAAGAAAGATAAATGTAGTATGTATTAACTTCACAAATAATTATAAATATATGTGAAGTATAAGATGGTAAATAGGGGAAGGTAAAGTGAGAATGTAGCTTTTGGGGGTTTTTTTTGATCCTTTATCTCATTCAATTATATTCATTAAATTACAATTTTAAATTTTCTCCTGATTGTTTAGTGGAGCCAGAATAAGGAATTTCAACTAATATGGATTTTTGGTTACAATACAAAATACATTACAAATAAAGGAAGCCACTATGTCTCACATTCCAACCCAATTAATTTAAGTTGTTTGCTAACATGTTTCCTTCAAAAGTTCTCAGTCCACTAAAACTACTAAGTAGACTAATCTCAATTAGTAGTGGTTGGTAAATCAAAAGAAGGGTTATTTAAATAAGAACATTTTAAAAACTGTACTAAACATTTTATTTTAACTTAAATTATAAATGTGTGATTATTTACCAAATGTTTTCTAAGAATAAGCCTGGCTCATAGAGTTCTGAGTTAAATTTACACTAACTAGTATAGTAATTAATGTTTATGATTCAGGTTTTTTTGGAAAGAAAAACTTTCCAAAATTTTCTTTTCAGGTGAGAAAATTAAAGTACCGTGAATCAGTCTTGGACAAATGCTTCTAATTATTTCTAGACTCTAGACTTTAACAGTTGCCTCACCTCTATTAAAAATTTTAAAACTATTTGTCTTCCAAAGCATTCAACATGTTTCATAGAAAGAACAACTTGTTCTACCTTAATATTTCATTGCTTAAGTAATGGGGTGGAACCTGCAGCCTTCTGATTTCAAGATTGTTCTCTTTTAGCACCTAAGGAGACAAGAATATCTTCATCTTTCTCTGCTGCCCCTTTTAATAAAAGGATTTGTTATGTAAAATTTGGATTCAGTGAAAAGGCCACACCTTTAGGGCTGGAAGTCCACGTGTTTCCTTAAGCTGCAAATTCCCTAGGTTGAGTCATAAAGAAATTTCATGTTGTTATTTTTTTTAATGGCAGAATTTCATGTTTTGAAATATTTTTTAAGCTTTAAAATAGTACACATAATATCCTAATTTATAAAAAATAGAGTATATATATATATATATACACACACACACACATATATATAGTTTTATATTTCATTGGTTAGGATTGTGTTGGCTACAAGTTATATAACCTGAAGATAGTGGCTTTAACAAGATAGAAGTTTGTCTCTCATTTAAAAGAAGCTTAGAGGTAATAGTCCAGGATGGTATGACAACTCCCATCAAAGACCCAAAACTCCTTCCATCTTCATCTCTGGATGTAGCCTTTGTCCTTGAGGTTCAAGATGGCTGCTGGAGTTATAGCTATCATGTCTGTGGTGAGCAACTGGTCCTAAAGAAATGTTCCTCTCCTTTTTAAGGAAACTTCCTAGAAGTTCCACTATTCTGCCTCCATTCACTGTCTGATACTTAACTACATCTAGCTGCAAGGAGACCTGGTAATCAGTGTTGTAATTGTGAGGGGGGATGGGGAAGCACAAGAGATACAGCTTAAATAGGGTTTTATCTTTTTATTTTCAATTATTATAGAGTAACAGGTGTTTAATAGTTGTAAAAGATAATAGAGAAGTCCTTGGTAACTCCCAGTTTCCCCCAATGGTTACATCTTTTTTGTTGTTTGTTGTTTTTTTTTTGTTTTTTTTTGTTTTTATACGGATCTTAGAGACTGACCAATGGTTACATTTATAACTATAGCGCAGTATCAAACTAGTAAATTGCATTGTTATAAATATATATATAGTTCTGGATAATTTTATCAAGTATAGATTTCTGTGATCACTATAACAATCAAGATATAGAACTATTACAAGACACAGAAATAAAAATACTGCTTGATCTCAAAAGCTAAATATCTAGAAACAGAATAGAACAATAAGTGCAAGGGAGAGGAGGGGAAGGAAATTGGGAGAAGATCAAGGACACAATTTTGTAGTCATGTAAGATAAGTCTAGAAATCTAATGTACAGCATGAGTAGTATAGTTATACTATTGTGTTGTATGCTGAAAATTGCTAAGAATAGATTTTAGGCACTTTTTACACACAAAAAAGTAACTATGGAAGGTGAAGGGTAGTTAATTTGGTTGACTGTAGTAATCATTTTACCGCATACATGTATATCAAAACATCACGTTGTATGCCTTAATATATGTAATATATAATATATATATATATATAACTATCACCATAAAGATCTTCCTCATGCACCCAAAATAGAGTTCTTTTATTTCATAAGAAACTGGAAAATGGATATCTACTAGGCAGCTAGCAGTCCTTGTCATATATATTTTTAAAAACAGACTTGGCACAGTGGCTTATACCTATAATCCCAGCATTTTGGGAGGGGTGAGGATTACTTGGAGCCAGGAGTTGAGACCAGCCTGGGCAACATAGTGAGAACCGTGTCTCTACCAAAAAAAAAAAAAAGAAAAAAGGAAAGAAAAAAAAAGAGAAATGCAGGGGGTAGGGGACATATGTTTGTTTTTAAAACTCGTTGTGTTACTAACTAATCTGCTTGTTGAATCTTACTAACTTTTATGGAATACTGCTCCTTTTCTCTTATTAGGCTTGGGGAGGTATAACAGGACATAAAAGATATGTAAATCTATACATAATAATAGTAATAGCTAATATTTAGGGAATGCCTCCTATGTGCCAGACCTATCCGATTAACTCATTGAATCTTCACTTCAATCCTTGTGAGGCACATACTATTCTTCTTCCCATTTACAGATGAGAAGGCTTTGTATTTTAATAATTAACATGGTGCTGGTATGTAAAAATACTGTGTCAACAAAACTAATGGTGTATTCTGTACCATATTCTGTGACACCAACAAAGTACTCTCTTTTTAAAATCTTTTTAGAGATTCCGTTGTGGAAATTCTTTTTGAACAAGATAATGAAGAGAAATCAGTTGCCACTTTAATATTGGATTCCCTTATGCAGGTATTTTATTAACAGCCTTTAAACATTTTTAAATGTTAACTTCTGTATTTTTACTTTAGCCATTTTAGGCAACTAGCAGTGCTTGTCATATATTATTTGTAAGAACAAAGAAAGTGTACTGGGAAGTGGTTAGTTTGTTTTTAAATCTCTTGTATCAATAGTCTGACTTTTATAGAATACCATTCCCTTTATTTAACTTTTTATACTTTGTAAACTTTTATGTTAAATTTTATAGTTAATGAGATTTACTTGGGTGCTAAGATACGGTATCTATAGCATTTCAAACCCAGGGATAATGAGTGCCAAGGACGTGGCATTTTCTCAGAGCGGGTATTCCAGATTTCTATTTTGTACCTAGTGTGGCTTGTGGTTCCTTTAAATTTAGGTTTGTATAGTATTGAATTTTACATTCCACAGAGCATATGGTAATATGTCTCTTTTGTGTAATGACTTTGTAATCATAGAACTCCACAGAAATATCATTACCTTGGAAGACACTGTCTACCTCCAGGGCTCTGCTCAGTGAAGGACCTTATCATTACTAATTCTTAGAGAAAACTGATGTGGAAACATAATTTTTCTAAGAGTGTTATCTTCCTACAACTGGCTCTGGGTATAATAATGAAGATAACACCTTAGAAAAACTAAGTTTCCACATACCTTCCTTACTAAAAAATAAAAGTTATTTCTTCTCATGCTCTTTGCCCAACTTGGTCATTCAACCCTGAAAATGAGAACACTCATATTATTGCTGTATGCCCTGTGTAATTTAAAATTCTATAATATTAGATTTTAAAATACTTTAAAATCTTATATAAGTTCTATATATACATTTAGTAGTATTATCATGTTGGTTATATTAGCTGCATGAAAGAAACCTTTCTGTGGCCTTTTTTGTAATAAAAATGATCACCTGTTTATACTAAATACTTCCATATATTTTCTTTATGTTGTTTTTTCTTTTTTATTTTTTATGTCTCTTGAGTCATATACATATTTTCTTATGTCCAGCCAAGCATTATTTATCCAGTTACGGATAAATCCTTTCTTTTCTTTCTCTTTAATAACAGTGCCCAATAGATACCAGGAAGCAACTAGCAGAGAATTTGGTAGTCATAGGTGGCACATCTATGTTACCAGGATTTCTCCATAGATTGCTTGCAGAAATAAGGTATTTGGTAGAAAAACCAAAATATAAAAAAACACTTGGCACCAAGACATTTCGAATTCATACTCCACCTGCAAAGGCTAATTGCGTGGCCTGGTTGGGAGGTAAGAATTTTGTTTTTAAAATATAATGATTATATAATTGGTTCCTGAATGGTATTACTAATGGATATATTATATATATTATCCAGTGTTCAAAATTCCATTTAATAAATAAATCTGTTAAATAATTTTTATTGAACTTTGACTTTTCCTTAAATTATATTACTTTTCAGAATTATACCTATTTAAATAAATAGGTATATATAGGTATTATATAAATAAGTAGGGTATTTACACCTACATAAATATATAGGTATTATATAAATAAGTATAAATAAATAGGTATTATATAAATAAGTATAATACCTATACTTATTTCAGAATAAATACCTATTTCTCTTGGCATTTGCACTATTAATTTAAGTAAACATCTTCATCCAATTTAAGTCATGCCTTAGAATAGTGAAAGCTATGAATTTATTCCAGTGTTGCTATCATTGCTGAAAACTTTGTTTTAATGCCTTCCAAAGCTAGTGAGCCACAATGAAAATTTGTCTCTTTATTTCATAATTATACTTTGTTTGAGACTGAGTTTATTGAATGTTTTAAGTAACGATAGTTTCACTGAAATAAGAAAATAACCTGATAAGTACAGTTGACCTTTGAATAACACTGAATTGCAAGGATCCACTTATACACAGTTTTTTTACAGTAAATGTACTGGAAATTTTTTTGGAGATTTGCAGCAACTGTTTGAAAAAAACAGATGAACTGCACAGCCTAGAAATATCCAAAAAATTAAGAAAAAGTTATGTCACAAATACATAAAATATATGCAGATACTATTCTTTTTATGTGTTAATTGACTGCTACTGGTAAGGCTTCTGGTCAACAGTAGGCTATTAGTAGTTAATTTGGGGGGGGAGTCAAAAGTTACATGTGGATTTTCCACTGCTGGGGTGGGGAAGTGGGGCAGTCCATGCCCCAACTCCTGTGTTGTTCAAGGGTCATGTAACTACTTTGAAGGGAAAAACATGAATGTGTACATTTGTAAACATTTTGATCTGTGTTTTATGATGTAGTTAGAGCTAGTAGAGCTAGTAGTTATCAGGATCATACATTCAGAGAGAGAAACAAGTATTGAGATTTTTAAATGAATATTATATTTACTTGTAGAATTTGGTTAAAATGTAATTTTGATCTTGGACAAATGGATTTAGTAACTAAATTATTTTTTAAAGACTTCTTGTGGGTCTTTATAAGATCTTCACTATAAATTCTTAGAACTTTATAATGACTCTTACTTAGTTTTGCAGTGCTATTTATTTTATTTAGTGACATGTAACCTTGGAATAGTGGCAAAACAAAACAAACAAGCAAACAAAAAACCCAAATACCTGAAGGGTCTTATTGATTGTATTTACCTAAAGTTGAAAATACCTTCCATCTCAGTTTACCTACCTTGCTTTTAGACACAGTGATACTTGTTATCATATTCACTACATGCTGCTAAAAGGCATTTAAGTTACTTTCAACATAGGAATCATGGCTTACTCTGTTGTTCAAAATATAAGATACAGAACAGCTTAACTGGAATTAATTGAATAGTGTGACTATGCATTGCTGATTTTACTAGTCCTCTCTTGTCATATAGTGAAGTGGATTTCTCTGTACATAAAGATTTCTGGTAAAAGTTTTCATCTCAGCTATAAAAACATTTTTATCACACAGGAGCTATTTTTGGAGCATTACAAGATATACTTGGGAGCCGTTCAGTTTCAAAGGAATATTATAATCAGACAGGTCGTATACCTGATTGGTGTTCTCTCAATAATCCACCTTTGGAAATGATGTTTGATGTCGGGAAGGCTCAGCCACCTCTGATGAAGAGAGCATTTTCCACTGAGAAATAAAAGTTTGATTAAAATTCAGCTTTCCTTTATTTCTAATATTTAGTTGATTACAAGAGAATTGTACAAAATATGTAAGATGCTTTGTTATAGGTGACTATAGTGAAAGTGAAACCACTTCTTGTTTACTCTTTGCATTAATATGTAATTCTTTTGACTTTGTTTCCCTTGTATAGTGGTAAAATGGTAGCTGATGCTTATGAGACTTATTGTATTTGTATCAATAAAATATAGTAGAACAGTTTAATTTTGGAAGTTTGTTACATAGTCAATTTTTCAAAAAGAATAACAACACTATCCCTGCATAGTTCACATAATCTGTCCTGGGCATGGGAGACTCCATTAATTTTATTATTTTCAGCAGTTATTTCATTTAAAGCATGAATAGTGTTAATCAGTACCAGTTATTTCAAATATTAGCATGTGTCTATTTTTTAGATTCTTTGCTTTTTGGTACTTATATGTCCATGTCATTAAAATGTTGCTTTTCCAAAAATATATTTGATCCTTTGGACTGAGAATGTTTGGTAACACAGGCATTTATTAGGCAAAGTGTGGAAATGTTTACCTTTTAACTTTACAGTTTCTTTTATGAATAATTCTACATTTATAAGGAAAAAGATATTTCATTTCTGTGTAAAGTTACAACTGTTTTATAAACATGTCCTCATAATATCATCAATCTTTGCTTTTGTGCTTTGTATCTTCTCAGGGCAGGGGTTCTTTGAAATATATACTCAGTCATTGTTTAACTTTTATTTTTGTTTTTCTTCCTTTGTTTTTAATGAACTACCTCTTGTTGAAATTTTGCTGGTTTCATTCTTTCAAGGTACCTGTGCCCTGTAGGCCTGCTACTTCTGTAACATCCTTTCCCCAAAGTAGTGATCTTTCCCTAAGTGCTTTATTTATAACTGAAGCACTTACAACTGTTACTTTGTAATCGTTTCTACACAAGTTTTAGCTTCCTTTCTGGAATATATACTCCATTGCAACAAGCTTCCTTATTTTTTAACTTTGAAATCTTTGCAGTAAGATTATCAGGAATAGGTGTACCATTAATTGTCAATTGTATGGATTTACTATTTTGTTAACAGTATCTCTTTTTGCAGTAAACATAATTTCAAAATTTTCTGCTTTGCATTCATATTGGTCCTGCCTTTTGTTGAATTTAGATTACTTATAAGAAGTTTTCTATTTTCATTGATTAATATGAAAAACAATATCTCTGACTGAAAAAAGAGATTTAAAGCTAGGTATCAAATGGCAGACACCTAGTGGCTGAGGTTAAGTGGCTGTTAGGTATTGAATTGTGTTCCACAAAAACATATGTTGAAGTCCTAACCCCAATACCTGTGAATGTGACCTTACTTGGAAATAGAGCAGATGTACTCAAATTAAGGTGAGGTCATTAGAGTAGGCCCTAACCAACATGACTGATATCCTTAGAAGAAAAGGAAAATGCCATGTGAGACACACAAGGAAAACACCGTGTGATGGAACAAGTCAAGCCAAGGAATGCCAAGAATTGCTGATGACACCAGAAACTAAAAGAAAGGCACAGAACAAATTCTTCAGCAGAGCTTTTGAGAGCATGGACCTGCTGACACCTTGATTTCAAGAAGTCTGAAACAATAAATTTCTGTTGTTTCATGCCACCCAGTTTGTGGGATCTTGTTATGACAGCCCTAATAAACTAATATATGCTTCTTAATTCACTAGCTCAACACATACTTATTGAACATCTGTCAGATACTAATTTAGGTTTTTGAGATACATTAGTGAACAAAATAGACAAAAATCCTGCCTTTCTGGAACCTACATTCCAAGGGGTGAGAGAAGGTTGGGAGATAGATCTAACATATTAAGTTAGAGGATGATAGCTTCCGTAGAAAAATTAAGTAGGGTAAAGTGGATGGTGGGGTAGTTGCCAATTAGAATAGGGTTTAGTGTTATCGGGGTTGGCCTCTTTTTTTAGTGACTTTTGAACAAAGAAATTAGGCAAGTGAATTAACTATGTGGGTATTTGGGAGGAAAAGTGATACAGGAAGAAGAAACAGCCAGGGCAAGAACCCTAAGGACAGGCATGCTTAACATGTTCCAGGATCTGCAAGGAGGCCAATTTGGTGTATAGTAAGTAAGGAGAAGAAAAGTAATAGGAGATGGGAGAAAGGGAACAATCTTGTAAGGACATATCTCATACAGTGAAACAGGATACCCTTAGAATAATGACAAGATCTGACTTGGTGTTTTTTTTGTTTTTGTTTTTTTTTTTGAGACAGAGTCTCGCTTAATTGCCCAGGCTAGAGTGAGTGCCCTGGCGTCAGCCTAGCTCACAGCAACCTCAAACTCTGGGCTCAAGCAATCCTCCTGCCTCAGCCTCCCCAGTAGCTGGGACTACAGGCATGTGCCACCATGCCCGGCTAATTTTTTCTATATATATCAGATGGCCAATTAATTTCTTTCTATTTTTATAGTAGAGACGGGGTCTCACTCTTGCTCAGGGTGGTTTTGAACTCCTGACCTCGAGCGATCCGCCCGCCTCAGCCTCCCAAAGTGCTGGGATTACAGGCGTGAGCCACCGCGTCTGGCTTGACTTGGTGTTTTTTATTTGGTTGGTTTTTAGAGACAAGGTCTTGCTGTGTCACCCAGGCTGGAGTACAGTGGTGTGATCATAGCTCACTGCAACCTCAAACTCCTGAGCTCAAGTCCTCTTTCCTACCACAGCCTCCTAAGTAGCTAGGACTACAGGTGTGTGCCACCATGTCTGGCTAATTTTTTTTTTAAAGACCACGTCTGGCTAGTTTTTTTTTTTTAAGAGATGGGGTCTGGCTATGTTGCCCAGGCTCTTCTGTAACTCCTGGCCTCAAGTGACTCTCCCACCTTGGCCTTCCCAAATACTAGGATTACAAGCATGGGCCACGCTGCCTGGGCCTCGCTTGTTTTAACTGGATTATTCTGGATGTTGTGTAAAGAATAGAAGACTGAAAGCAGAAAGATCAGTTATGAAATGATTACAGTAATCCAGATGAGGTAATGGTTTAAACCAGGGTGCAAGCAGTAAAGGTGAGAAGTCTGATTCTGGATCTATCTTGAAGGTAGACCAACAGGATTTCCTGATTTGATATGGATGTTTCAGTTACCTGTTGCAATGTAACAATCTCCCAAAATTTGGTGGCTTAAAACAGCGAGTACTTTATTTGCTTATTATTCTGTAGGTCAAGAATTCAGGCAAAGCCCAGTTGTGCAGTTTTGTTCCATATGGCATCAGCTAGATATTCACTTGGCTGTATTTAATTGGTTTGCAGGGATGGAAGGTCTAAGATAACTTTGCTCTCAAGTCAGGTCTCGGTGCTCTTCACACGGCTCCTTTCTCCCACATGGCCTGTCTCCATGTGGCTAGCTTAGGCTTCCTCAGAGCATGGTGGTCTCAGGGTACTCAGACTTCTTACTTGGCAGCTTGCATCCAAGCCCATTGTGAAAGTACTCATCAAGACACTGTATCATGCTTTCTAATGTCCCCTTAGATAAAACTAGTCACATGTCCTAGCCCAAAGTCAGTGTGGGAGAGGAAACAGTGAAAGACACTTTCACAATGGGGTTCTAGAGAAAGAAGTCAATGATTTTTCCAAGATTTTTGGCCTTCATAACTATAAAGATGGCGTTACCATTAATGGGGGGTGGGGAGGAAGGAAAACTGCAGGAGAAGAAAGTTTTGGAGCAAAGACTGAGTTAAGTTTTGTGTATGTTAAGTTTGAGATACTTACTACACATCCAAATGGATATTCAAGTTTGACATTTAAGAAAGAGACGTGGGCTCTCTCTTAATATGAAGTTGAGAATCGCCAGCAAATACCTGGTATTTAAAGCCATGAGATCACCAAGTGGGGGAGTACAGATGGCAAAAAAGGGCCAAGGTCTCATCCCTAGAGTACTTAAAAGTGAAGAGGTAGGATAGTAAAAGGGGAACTAGTAAGATAGAGGAGAAAACGAGAGCATTAGTGACCTGGAAACCAAGGCAAGAAGTGTGGCGTGATCAAATTTGTAGTAAGTTTCTGATAGGGCAAGTAGATTTGGCCTAGCAATTAACAATTAGATTTAGTAATGTGGAGGTGATTGGTGATCTTTTCATGAACAGTTTGGCAGACTAGTGGCAGGTGGGGAGGCAGAGCAGGAAATCCTGATTGGAGTGGGTTGAGAAAGGCAGGAAGTAGCCCTGACATGGTGAACTAAACTGACACAGCTAAGCCTCAATGAGATTATAGACTGATAGGATACTGAGCAAATTATACTTTTCTCCTTTTTTTTCACAGAACATCCACTTCAGACAAGATGGTTACTGTCCAACTCAAAACACAAAACATTCCTCTTTCTTGCCAAATGAGTGATTGCCACTTTACCACTTTCAGATTTATTCCTCCTTTTCCCTCTCTATAGGTAAGATATATTAAGATCATAGAATTTCCCTGGCTTTCTGAGACCACCCAATCCAGAACAAGCCCCTACTTCCTTAGGCCCTTCCCCAAATTACCCAATAAAAGCCCAAATTCTACAAATAGGTTCTTTTTAACACTGTTTTACTGAATTGCTCCCACAGTTCTCCCTTGGTATAACATGTAATAAACCAAACTTGTTCAACTACAAGTGTCATTTTGGCTTGGTTTGGTTTGGTTTTTGGTCTTTGGCTGAAAGGCATTGTCCAGATTAAGAGATGGGAAGAGAGGAAGGAGAGCGTAAACGGGGTGACTTGTTCCAACGGGAAACAGAAATAGAATGGTAGCCCTCAGGAAAACTGAGTCAAAGTTTTTGTCTTGTTTTAAGATAGAGAAATAACAGCACGTTTGTAGGTTGAAGGGAACAATCAAGAAGAGAGAAAAATTGATCGTTTAGTAGAGAGCAAGTTGGCAGATAACAGGGGGAGGGTATAGGATCCAGTGGTTTAGGTAGTAGGGTTGGAAGGAGCATGGATTGTTCACTTACGTGGTCTGGGGGGTGAGATCCTGGAACGTGCCTACCTGAGGTGGTCCCAGTGAGAGTGAGCGTTCTCTTTCTGATTACTTCATAGATATATCAGTGAAGAGGGAAGAAGGTGGAAAACCTGCCTCAAATATCTTAATTGTCCATCCAAGTTTTCACAACTCAGTTCTTTTCTGCATCTGTCAAAGAGCCTTCACTAGAATATTAACTTCCTAATATCCATCCTGTACATAGATCCCAAGAACAATGGAAGAAAACTTGATGTATGCACTGGTTGTATAAATCTATCGAAAGAAATATTTCTCACTGTGTATTTCTTCGGGATAATTTCTCCTCCCTCCCTCCCCTAAGATAGGCCCTATATTGGGAGCAAGAAAAAGGAGAAAACACACACACACACACACACACACACACACACACACACACACGCGCGCGCGCGAGAGAAGGATGAATTGGTTGTTTTTCCTCCGAGTCCTCTGGCGTCTCCAACTACTTTCACATCGGATCTCTTAAATTTTAGAAAAGCAGGCAAAATTGGGGCATAATTTTGTTAAGATAAAAGCAAAAACTGCCCTCTACCAGCAACTGTGCAAGAACGCATAGTAACACAAAACCAGGCTTAAACAGTGGCATTTAGTTTCCCCGTGTTTTAAGGAGGACACTAGGGAGGGGACGTGTGCTCTCAAGTGCGCAAGTACAGTTTGCGATCTGTTTCGTTTTCAAACTGAAGACTTTTTTCCAGAGATCTGGTTAATATTGAAAGCGCTTAAATTAATTTTGTGTAAAAACCCTTCTTAGTGTAAATGCTTTGAAGAAACCGTGGAAATTTTGGAGCAAAATGGAATTTCCTAACAAAAAGCAGCAACGCCCAACGTGGGGCTCGAACCCACGACCCTGGGATTAAGAGTCCCATGCTCTACCGACTGAGCTAGCCGGGCGCCCGAGAACACCCTCTATTTTTTCTTCTCTTGATGATCGTTTAAATACATTTGGTTGCAATTCTATATTATTTTTTATTTCTAAAAAATAATTCGTAACACACTTCTAAGTTGGTGCTTCAGAATTATTTTAAAAACGTTTTAAAACATAATTGTGCTTATATTTAAGAACTGTTATTATGTATGTGTCCGAAGATCACTGAAAGCTTATGCAAGTCTTTCTCCTTACAGTCATTTAATCTTTTTAATGAAGTGATTTAAAGTATTTGCCGCCCAATATCTTATCTTCTTTACATAAACGTGTATCAAGGCTACCCAACTTCTATCAAATGGCATACTGAATTCCTACATGTTTGGGCTCTGCGTTAAAAAACAAAGTCCAACCTCTAAGAGGTTAGTTTCACTAAAGAACAGCGGGGCTTATCTATTTCCTTTTGAAGTATGGTTGATTAAAGAAAGTTAAATTGAGGAAAAGGGATTTCGATTCAGTTAAAATAAGGTCTCTTTCGAGTAACTGACGATGAGATAGGATGCTCAGAGGTGGTTATTACTCTGCTCAAATGACAGAAGCTGTGAAGAAAGAAATATTGTCTATGAAACTAATGGTAAAAAATTTTAATTCTAAGAGGAAAAGAGAACAACCTGATTTTGATCAAATTATGATAGGAGATAATGGAATAGACTCCTATGGAAATATATGTATTCTGAGACACCAGTGAACCTTTCAAGATAAAGAATTCTGCACATTTCTGTAATAGTGGAGTAGATAGAGGATAATGTTTATCCTACTGTTGAGAATTGCAACTTAAAGTCTAATTGTAAACTTGAAAATAACAAAGAATTCTTAGGATACTATCCCTAAAACACAGTATTTAGAAGCTAAATACATTGAGTGTCACATTTTCTGAGTTATTCAATTAAAAAATAATAAGATATGTCATAAAATATTTTAGATGCCTCAAAGTACACGTAAAAGTACTTAAAATTTTAAAGCTTAAAATATTATTACATTATTAACAAATTTGTCTGCAATTACCAACTGTTTTTTTGTGATTGTTTTATAACTTGGTAGAATGTAACCGGTAAGTGAATTTGAGGATTTTTTTTTCATATTAAGCACATTTATTAAGTACCTACCACGTGCAAAGCACCGTGTTGGGTATTCTAATAGAATGATAAAACCAGACTCAGCCTCAAAAAGCTTATCACCCTGTAAGAAAGATGTGTAAATTACATACCGCTTTCACATGTACTACTTCCCAAAGTAATCAGAAGTAAGTTGGTTAAAACAAGCAAACAAATTCACGCCCACGCCATTTAAGTATTGTAATGAATCACGCAAATAATTAAGAACTTGGGGCCACAGTTTAATGCTAATTCCACAGGGGACGGGAGTATGCCTAGCTCACCGTTTTATTCGTTTTATTCGCAGTGTTAAATGGAGAACGTGGAATGTTAGTGCTCAATATCTCTCTGTAACCAGGATTATCTTCAACTCTACTAAAAAGCTTTAAACTCATACAAAGAGCACTCAAACTTTTTGTAAAATTCCTGGCTGAGCTCAAACATGATATCCTTAAAGTGCAAAGTGCTTCCCGAGAGCCTGAGGAAAGGAGGGTGAAGCGGATGCCATCAAGATACTGGTGGAAACGAGGACGTCAAGGACGACAGGATACTTCTCCTCTACTGCTTTCTTTATAAGACTATACAAACATCTCTCTTTTTTGTTTCACTAAAGAATAAAGTAAGGAGACGAGAGGAATAATATAAAAGATAAATAATAATTCCTAGATAAAGAAATGGAACAGCTTCTCAAACTCGATGACTTAGAGTGGCTCAAAGGACTGGAACTGAAGGCGGAACACTAACCTTCTTCTAACCCCGCTTCCATTGCTTCTGCACAGGCGCACTACCCGCCACTCGTACCCCACCCTTTCCCACAATACTTTTCGTTCCAAGTGCTAGAGCCCAAGGAACCAGCTTCAGGGACAAAGACAATTGGTTGAAGTGCAGCCAATGAGAGGGCCTGTTACTACTCTGCGCCGTGCTTTGCTGTAGGGTAGGGGAAGTGTCTTAGGCCTGGAAGCCTTGCGCGTTCCGTTGGTTTTAGCACGATGAGCTCAATCGGCACCGGGGTGAGTTTGTGATCCTTTGGTGTGATAGTCTAACGTAAGGATTGGCTTTGAAGGGAAGTTGGGCAGACTGAATGGGGTGCGCCGACCCGGGATTCTCTGGGACTGCCTTCAGGTCAGGTGGGCCGCTTCCAGCTGTCTGGAGATCTGTCGTCTCTTACCCGCTAGTATACTAGGCCCGCGTCTCCAAGGAAGGTGACTGCTGAAGATTTTCAGCGCAGGTGTAGCTGGCTTGGCGGCGCAGCAGTGAGGTGTGGAGCTGCTCTGAGTTGCTGAGTCACTTTCTTTAGCCATTTAGGGAAACCGAAAGTGGAAACTTGTGGGGCCTGAAAAAAATGTGTGGAAGGGTTTGGGTAACAGTCCTCTTGAGAACCACTCAGGCAGCTCAGCTTGGGATTCATGGTCTGAGGCTCGTGCTTTCTTTAGACTACCAGTTCCTAGGGTGCCGCTGATTCACGGGCCTTCTCTTTCTTCTCTGTCGATCAGTTCACTGTCGAGTGTACTGATCGACAGCTCATTGTAGAGTCACTGGAAACCCAGTTGAGACAGAACTAATAAGAAAAGTGGTTTGAAAGCTAAATCTGATGACGCCTTTCAGTCTTCCTTTGTTACAGCTTCTCAACACTTTTAGGCATTGAGATTTTATGTAGGAACTTAACTACTTCAAACTTTCAATATACTGTTGAGAATTTTGGAGTTGGACTTGTTTGGCTTCCTTCTTTCCTTTGTTAAACGTATTGCATATGTGCAGTCTTCTGCTTACTCCTTTTATGTACTTCTCCATATAGGAAATACAGGGTTTTTAAACATCTGTTGGTTATTTGCACAATAGTTATCGAATAATGGGTTTCTCAGTTTATTTAATCCTACTTGTTCCCAAGATTTTGATATTTAGCATTAAACCCAAATACTGGTGATCCGAATTTGATAATAGGCCAATTTATGTTTGGGATAGTTTAATCCATTCGTTTCGTTTATGAGATGCTAAAGTTATGTCATACTTCTTTTGCGTAAGTAAATGCTCAATAAAGAATTGACTACATTAATATTGACTTCAATCAATAGTGTTTCTGTCTACAAGCCTTTAAAAAATACTTGACAGTATAACTATGTGGGATGTTTTGGTATTACAGTGGTGGAGTTTTTCCTTCTTACCTTTTTAACCCTGAGAGGCCAACCCTTCTTGCAGTCAGTCTCCAGTTTCAAGAACCCCAAGAACTGACTGGTACAGCTGACTTTACCACCTGTACCCAACCCTCAGTGAATCTTGAGCAGTGCCTTATATTTCGGTGCTACTAAATTCTTCTCTAAAGAAGGTTTTGGCCAGGCATGGTGGCTAACACCTGTGATCCCAGTGTTTTGGGAGGCCAAGGTGGGAGGATTGATTGAGGCCAGGAGTTGAAGACCAGCCTGAACAACATAGCAAGACCTGTCCTTACAAAAATTAAAACTTAGCCATGCACAGTGGTGTGTTCCTGTAGGTCCTAGCTACTCTACTTCAAAGACTGAGGAGGGAGAAGATTGCTTGAGCCCTGGAGTTTGAGGTTGCAGTGAACTATGATGATGACACTGCTCTCTAACCTGGGCAACAGAGAGAGACCCTGTATCCCAAATACATACATACATACATACATACATAAACTAACTCCCTATTCCATCCTGGAAGACCCAATGTAGTTTGGCCCTTAGCTACTGTGCTAAGATTGCCTACTTTTTTCTCCACCATTTAACAGTGCTCAAGACAGTGATCTTATTTCTGTTCCTGACTGTGCTAGGCTTATTTCTACCCTAATGTCTTTGTGCCAAATGCCAGAAAGTTTCTTCTTCCATATCTTAAATGGCTAGCTCCTTGTCATTTAAGTTTTATTCACCCTAAATACCACTGCTCCAGCTAGGCCTCTCCTGTGATGCAGTCTGTAGTAGTTCCTTCTATCACTTTACTATTTTATTTTCATATGCCCTTTCTGGTTTATTGCTGTATCTTCAGCACTTAGATTCGTGTCTGGTCTGATTTGAAATGAAGGACTTCATGAATAATTGGTCGTTTTTGTATTCCCATATAATGACTAACATATAATGGATATTCATTAAGTGTTCGACGAATGCTGAATGATTTGTTAAGTTCTTCAGTTTGTTAGTGGCACAGCTATTGCTACAAACTTAAATGTTCTGACTTCAGTGCTGTTTCTACCATACAGTGTTAATTTTTTTCAAAAGTGAGTTTTGTGTTCTGATTTTACTTAGGACTTGTATCCATTGCTCTTCAATTGTAGAAATCTAAGGTGTGTGACTTCCCTTAGTCACTGTTGGTGCTTTGACATGCTTCCCCTTCCTCTCTTAACAGCAGAGTTATTGTTGGGATATCACACATTCCTGATTTCTAAGCCATTTAGAGGATATGCTTATTACTGCTAGAGAGATGTTATTATAAGCTTATTGTTGCCCTTTTCCCTCTAGTATGACTTGTCAGCCTCTACATTCTCTCCTGATGGAAGAGTTTTTCAAGTTGAATATGCTATGAAAGCTGTGGAAAATAGTAGGTAAGAAATATTGTTTTACTTAAAATGATTGTTTTAATCAGTTATTATATGTCTCCTTTTATTTTTTATATTTCTGGTAATTAGGCTTTGTTATGTTGCTTTGGCACAAATTAGTATATACCTCAAAACAATCTCTATTTATTCATTTCCAGATCTCGTTCTAGGCCAAATGTTTTTCCATGAGCCCCAGCCCGATAATTCCAGTCAATTCCAAGATTATCCACTAAAATACCTATGTTGCAAATATAGCATATAAAATCACATTTGTTATCATCTTTACTAGCCATTCTCCATTTTCAAATTCTTGATTTATATCATTGTTTTCCTTGGCTATTATATTTATGACCTTATTGTCTTTTATTTCTCATACATCTTGTGGGTGTTTTTTTTTTTCTTTCAGAGACAGGGTTTCACCATTCACTCCAGCCTAGGTAACAGAGTGAGACCCTGTCTCAGATAAAATAAAAATAAAAAATAAAAAAAGAGAAGATGGGGTCTTAGAGCAAAGAGCAGGAGAGACTTAGGAAAGTTACTGTTTTCTCTCCTTTGCTTTTTTTCTCTCCTTTGCTCCTGCTTTTTCTTTGTCATAAAAAACTGGTAAGTCTTGACTAAGAAAAACTGGAGAGAGAGATTTTGAAACTCTGTGTAACCAGAAAATTGAAGGTAAGCTGTGAGTAACTGTGTCATCTTAGGGATTTGTTTTCTATAAAGTATCTCTAATGTGACTTAAAATAGTCATATTTAGACAAACATGAGTAAATATTTCTAAAAATTGAAACTTCAAACAGGGAGCAAGAGTGAGATGCTGTCTCTACTAAAAATAGAAAAATTAGCCAGGCCTGGTGGTACACACTTGCAATCCCAGCTGCTGAGGAGGCAGAGTCAGGAGAATCGCTTGAGCCCAGGAGTTTGAGGTTGCTGTGAGCTAGGCTGATGCCATGGCACTCTAGCCCAGGTGACAGAGCAAGACTCTGTCTCCAAAAAAAAGGAATTTTTTTTCCTTAATAAAGAAAAAATACTAGGAAAGTTCCTCTTTTAAAGGGATTCATGTAACCTGGCATGGTAGAATACTAGATGCGGTTCAGAAAATAAATTTTCTTCTGAACTGGTACTTTCTGGTAGTGTGATGTGTAGGATTCCTCTCTTTAGTCATTTGAGTGTCACTTTTTTTTATTTTTTTTATTTTTTTATTTTAGCGTATTATGGGGTACAAGTGTTAAGGTTACATATATTGCCCATGCCCCCCTCCCCCCTTGAGTAAGAGCTGAGTGTCACTATTTTGTCTGTAAATTGGTATACATCTACCCCAACTACTTTACATAGTCATAAGGATGAAATATATCTAAAAACATTTGGAAAATGCTTAAGTGCTATGGGCACAGAAAGTAGAAAAATTAAATTGTATATTAATTTTCTTAAGAGTCTGGTATATAAACAAATTGAAAACATTTAACCTTGTAATATAAGATGAAATTCCTGCATCAAAGGAGATAAATTCTTTTAAAGAAATTTAATTTTTTTTTTTTTACTGAAGCAGACTCTCACTTTGTTCCCTTGGATAGAGTGCAGTGGTATCATCATAGCTCACTGCAACCTCAAATTCCTGGGCTCAAGTGATCCTCTTGCTTCAGTCTTCTGAGTAGTTGGGATTATAGGTGTGCACCAACACACCTGGCTGATTTTTTCTATTTTTTGGGTCTTGCTTGCCCTTGTCCAGGCTAGTCTTTTTTGTTTTTGTTTTTTGAGACAGAGTCTTGCTCTGTTGCCTCAGCTAGAGTGTTGTGGCGTCAGCCTAGCTCACAGCAACCTCTAACTCCTGGGTTCAAGCAGTCCTTTTGCTTCAGCCTCCCAAGTAGATGGGACTACAGGCATGCACCATATTTTTAGTTGTCCAGCTAATTTCTTTCTATTTTTAGTAGAGACATGATCTCACTCTTGCTCAAGCTGGTCTTGAACTCCTGAGCTCAATTGATCCTTCCTCCTCGGCCTCCCAGAGTGCTACGATTACAGGTGTGAGCCACGTGCCAGCCCTAAAGAAATTTAATCTTGATAATTAAAAAGTCAAATATTTTATAGTACTTGTTGTGTTAAACATAGGAACTACCAAAACAAATAATTAATGGAATCTAAGTGAATACTTAAAAGCACATTATTAAAAATATATGTACCATGATCATAACTGTTTTATAAAAGTATGACCCTAAAAAGTAATATGAAAAAGAAGAAAAGGGGGAAAGATTAAATTTTAATTTTCCCTTTTAGTCTCATTGAGGAGCCAAGATATAAAAAGAAGGTTGTATAATATAAGGACTGGATTGTTTAGAAAAAAAGTATACACAGAATTTTGGTTTCTGGAGCCCTTTATGCTTTCAGAAATTATTGAGGACCTCAGAAAGCATTTGTTTATGTTGGCTATATATATGTTCTATCAGTATTTACTATGATCCCAAAAACCTTTGATTAATGCAGTTTATTTGTTCTATTAATAATTTACCAGGCCGGGCGCGGTGGCTCACGCCTGTAATCCTAGCACTCTGGGAGGCCGAGGCGGGCGGATTGCTCAAGGTCAGGAGTTCGAAACCAGCTCTCGCAAGAGCGAGACCCCGTCTCTACTATAAATAGAAACAAATTAATTGGCCAACTAAGATATATATACAAAAAAATTAGCTAGGCATGGTGGCGCATGCCTGTAGTCCCAGCCACTTGGGAGGCTGAGGCAGCAGGATCGCTTGAGCCCAGGAGTTTGAGGTTGCTGTGAGCTAGGCTGACGCCACGGCACTCACTCTAGCCTGGGCAACAAAGTGAGACTCCGTCTCAAAAAAAAAAAAAAAATAATTTACCATATTAGACATAAAAAGTGAGAAAAAATTTTAAATGTATTCTTTTAACATAATAACAAATGCAATTACACATAACATTGATTTTTAAAACTTTTAATTAATTAATAGTAATAACTTTTGTTGTTTTTTTAAAGGAGATGGTGTCTCGTTCTATAACCCAGGCTGAAATGCAGTGGCATGATCATAGTTATTGCAATCTTGAACTCCTGGCTTCAAAAGATCCTCCTGGGGCCGGGTGCCATGGCTCACTCCTGTAATCCTAGCACTCTGGGAGGCCGAGGCGGGCAGATTATTTGAGCTCAGGAGTTCAAGACCAGTTTGAGCATGAGCGAGACCCCGTCTCTACTAAAATAGAAAGAAATTAATTGGCCAACTAAAAAGATACAGAAAAAATTAGCAGGGCATGGTGGCGCATGCTTGTAGTCTTAGCTACTTGGGAGGCTGAGGCAGAAGGATCGCTGGAGCCCAGGAATTTGAGGTTGCTGTGAGCTAGGCTGACGCCACGGCACTTTAGTCTTGGCAATACAGTGAGACTCTGTCTCAAAAAAAGAAAAAAAGTCCTCTTGTTTTAGCCTTCCGAGTACCTGGGACTACAGGTGCATGCCACCATGCCCAGGATAATTTTTAAAATTTTTTTTAGAGATGGGGGGGGGGTCTTGCTACATTGCCCATGCTGGTCTCAAATTCCTGGCTTCCAGAGATTTTCCCGCCTCAGATTCCTGAGTCCCTGTGATTATAGGCATGCGCCAGAACATATTTAATAAAAAAATAACTTTTCCAAAATATAAAACATAGAAGAATGGCATTGTTTTATATTTTTGTAAATCTTAGTCCTAGTTTAAAAAGACAGAATTCTATCTTCTTCATTCAATCCGTTATATTTTATTGAAGGATATGGAGTACATCAGCTTCCACACAGATTCATAGTTGGAAAAGTGATGAATATTTTAATAGCCTTTTCAGATAATTATGGATATTGTCCTTTGGCACTGTAGCAAAACTGAATAAATGGTAGTTTGTTAAAGTTGTAGTCTGAAAAGATATGGGTGAACTCTTTTGCATTTTGTTACATTAAACTCCGTTGGACTATCTTCTACTTTGAATGGATCTTTTACCTATGCATGATTTTGTTTTATTTATTTTTTTTTGAGGGACAGAGTCTTGCTTTGTTGCCTAGGCTTGAGTGAGTGCTGTGGCGTCAGCCTAGCTCACAGCAACCTCAAACTCCTGGGCTCAAGCAATCCTTCTGCCTCAGCCTCCTGAGTAGCTGGGACTACACGTATGCGCCACCATGCCTGGCTAATTTTTTTCTATATATATTAGTTGGCCAATTAATTTCTTTTTTTATTTATAGTAGAGACAGGGTCTTGCTCTTGCTCAGGCTGGTTTCAAACTCCTGACCTTGAACAATCCGCCTGCCTTGGCCTCCCAGAGTGCTAGGATTACAGGCATGACTGTGCATGATTTTGTAACATCATAAATTGATTTGGAAAACATTGGTTCACTGAGTTATAACAGATCTTCCAAACTTGACATATTTTTAAATAAATTATCGAAAATATAACATTTGTTAATATCACCATCAATCTCAACATAAAAGTTTGTAAATATTAGGAAGCAGACACGCTTATAGTGAATGAATATAGTGGTGAATATGTTTTCTAAAATTACTATTTTTTTCTTAAAAACTTGAATTTTTTTTTTTTTTTTTGGAGACAGGGTTTTGTTCTGTTTCCCTGGCTAGAGTATGGTGGTGTCATCATACTTCATTGCAATCTCAAACTCCTGGGCTCAAGCAATCTTCCTGCCTCAGCTTCCCAAGTAACTGAGAGTACAGGTGTATACCACCATGTGGGGCTAAGTTTTCGATATTTTGTACAGGAGGGGTTTTGCTGTGTTGCTCAGGGTGGTCTTGGACTCCTGGCCTTAAGCGATCCTCCGGCCTCAGTCTCCCAAATTGCTGGGATTACGGGTGTGAGCTACCATGTCCATTGGAAAACTTGAATTTTATCATTGGCAACAAACACTGTTAGTTTTCTTTGAGGTGACCTGTTTACTTTTTTCATTTTAGAAAAAAATGTCTGCCATATACCTAAGTATAAATAACCACAGTTTGTCTAACATTTGAAGGTAAAAACAGTATTCATGAAAAAAACAAAAAAAAGTTATATAAGTGCTTTTTTCTTGAGACAGCCATCATATTTTCATGTTCAGCAGAAGTACTTTGAGCACCTACCATTTCATTATTAGACTATTAAAAAGACAGGTACTCAAAGGTTGAGACTTAGTAAAATTATTGCTTCATCAAGGACATTCTTAACTAAAAGTGGCTTTTTTTCCAACTGAGCATAGCAGTGAAGAATACAGCTATTAGTGGCTTACTAGTACTGTTTGTTGCCACTGCCTTGATTCATGTTAAAGTGTCAGCAGTCTTACCTACCACTGCTTCTGTACCATCAGTACAAATGTCCACACAGCAGAAAAGACACAAATGAAGTCTTTGTACTTTTATGAATATAATTATGATCTCATGGGACATCCTGAAAGAATCCCAGGGATTTCTGAAGGTTTACAAACTACAATTAGAGAACTTCTAGTTTAGAATAAAGAATGTTTTAGATTCTAAATAGTGAGGAAGATGGTGAGTTGAAATAATTAATAAAGGCTTACTGGTATTGCAGTGGTTAAGTTCAAGTAAATTTGCAAATGTTTGTGGAAATTTACATAAATATGCGGTGGTGAGGAAATTCTAGCATCCGATAACATCAAAGACATGGAGGCAAAACATGAACATGAGGTGTTTGAGGGGTGATAGTGAAGTTAAATTCAGTAGAATACAGGATTTATAACAGGAAATTGAATATGCTCAATGGACTTGATCAAATTGTTAAGATTTTTGCCTAGAAAGCTGGGCAGAGGAATTTAAATCGAAAGAAGAGCCATTTAAGATACTTAAAGTGTGGGGGAAGGATTGCCTGAAATTCTTACAAAATTTATATGTGTTTATCTGTTCATTTTTCTCAGAAGAAATGGCCACAGTTTCATCAGATTTTGAAAGGCCTGTGGCTGACACAATTCCCCCACTTTTTAGGTTGTGGACTACTTTTTAGATTATGGTAATGACAAAATGAAACAGAGCTAGGAATTAGGCTGGTCATGTTAGGTAAGATGGATTGGAGAAGTAGAAAAGATGCTTACTGGCTGGATGTGGTGGCTCACGCCTGTAATCCTAGCACTCAGGAAGGCCGAGACGGGTAGATCATTTGAGCTCAGGAGTTGAGACCAGCCTGAGCAAGAGTGAGACCCCGTCTCTACCAAAAATAGAAAGAAATTAATTGAACAACCAAAAATATATTATACAAAAAAAGAAATTAACTGGGCATGGTGGCGCATGCATGTAATCCCAGCTACTTGGGAGGCTGAGGCAGAAGGATTGCTTGAGCCCAGGAGTTTGAGGTTGCTGTGAGCTAGGCTTACGCCACGGCACGTACTCTAGCCTGGGCAACAAAGTGAGACTCTGTCTCAAAAAAAAAATAGAGAAGTGGCATTCATGGTACTAGCTATTTGGGAGGCTGAAGGCTGAGGATTGGTTGAGCTCAGCAGTTGGAGGGTACAGCGAGCTGTGATCATGCCTATGAAAAAAGCCACTATATTCCAATCTGGGTAACATACTGAGATTCCTTCTCTAAAAAAAAAAAAAAAATTAAATTTACCAAAAAACTGTGTAATCAAGCATTGCTTTTTTTTTTTTTTTTTGGAGAAAGAGTCTCACTCTGTTGCCCGAGCTAGAGTGCCATGGCATCAGCCTAGCTCACAGCAACCTCAAACTCCTGGGCTCAAGCAATCCTCTGCCTCAGTCTCCCTAGTAACTAGGACTATAGGCATGTGCTACCATGCCTGGCTTTTTTTTTTCCTATATATTTTTAGTTGGCCAATTAATTTCTTTCTATTTTTAGTAGAGATGAGATCTTGCTCTTGCTCAGGCTGGTCTTGAACTCCTGAGCTCAAACGATCCTCCTGCCTCGGCCTCCCAGAGTGCTAGGATTAAGGCATTGCTTATTTTGTCTGACTGGTTGTTTCTGATCAGAATTACCTTTAAAAAGGATTAGAAGAATGAAATAATTAACATATTTTCATCTTGAAATGGCAGCATATAATGTTTCCATATTTTACTAAAGTGGTTAAGATATTTTTTTTTAATAGTTGCAGCAGGGCGATTATGAGGTTCATGCCTATAATCCCAGCAGTTTGGAAGGCTGAGGCAGGCGTATTGCTTCGGGCCAGGAGTTCTTCAAGACCAGCCTGGGCATCATAGCAAGACTCTATTCTCTACAAAAAGTAAAACAAACAAACAAAAGACAACAAAAAAAATTAGCATTGCATGGTAACACAGGCCTCTAGTCCCAGCTACTCGGAGGCTGATGCAGGAGGATCACTTGAGCCCAGGAAGTCAAGGTTACAGTGAGCTGTGATCTGGCTGTTGCACTCTAGCCTGGGCCACAGAGTGAGACCCTGTATCTAAAAATAAAATAGAAAAATAAAACATTTGTGGTAGAACATGTATTTTATTCTTTTATATATTTGTAGGAGCAATACACTTTTATTTCAGAAAAATTGGAAGAAACAGATGAGCAAAAGGAGGAAAAAGAATAAATCATAATCTTTCCACACAGACTAGTCACTTAATTTTTTAGCCTGTCTTTTGTATGTATATTATGTACCATTTTTAATGGACATGAATTTAGTCAATATTTATAACATCACTGTGATATGCCAGGCAGTATGCCATATTGTACATATTTCGTTGGCAAATTTTTGTACTTATATATTAGTATCTTTTTTTGTCAAATGGTGTGCTAGATTTTGGGAGGGGTCAGATATTCATTTATATGGATGTAATTTATCACACTTCTGGTTCTTCTAGTTTCCAAATATTTTAAAGAATTTGATGTGCTTTAAATGTTACTCATTTTTGTGTTTTTTTAAAAACTGAGGTTTATGAAGTTCCTTTTATTTTCAGTTAAAAATTAATTTTTTTCTCCTTGTTTCAGTACAGCTATTGGAATCAGATGTAAAGATGGTGTTGTCTTTGGGGTAGAAAAATTAGTCCTTTCTAAGCTTTATGAAGAAGGTTCCAACAAACGTCTTTTTAATGTTGATCGGCATGTTGGAATGGTAAGGTCATATTTAAAAATATTCCTTTTCGTCTTATCCAATTTCTTTTGAAGTGACTGTCTGGAATAGATCAGTGAGCAGCCACAATAGTAATCAGAGTGAGTTATTGGGTTTAACCAGTTCACTGTCCAAAAGAAAGGTAGCATTATAATCCTATTTGTGATAGATGCGAAAAATCAAGTTGTCTTAAGAAAATGAGGAGAGGGGACTATGTGTAGAAATGAGATCTTGGCAGCACAGATCTCCAGTGAAGGTTTCTGCTTGAGAGGGGAAGAATCTTTAGCTTTTTGTATCCTTTTTGGCATGGGGGACCTGTTTCTCAAAAGACTAATTTCCCCGTGGGGGTGTGCTGTGGCAGCAGTCAGGTGGTGATGCGAGCGATGGGGAGCAGCTGTAAATACAGATGAAGCTTCTTTCGCTGGTCCACTGCTCACCTCTTGCTGTGCAGCTCCTTCCTAAGTTTCCTGGAAGACAATTTTTTCATTGATGGTGGGAGGTGGGTAGAGCTCAAGCGGTGATGCATGGCCCATTTCCTAACAGACCTCACTGGGGACTGCAGCCTTTTGGAGATAACTGAAGATGCTATCAGATAAAGAACACATTTATAGTAAGGTGGAACACCAGGATGTTTGATGAAAGGAAAAGTGCACATATCCTTAATAGCTTCATAGACATCACTGTATTTAAATAATTTCACGCAGCTGGTATCTAAGCTGAGTGACTGCTTTGTACAACTCCAACCCAAACCATAAATACTGGTATATACTGAAGTTATATTACAGGGTGTCCTAAAAATCTCCATACAAAGGAAAAATTTTATGACTATTTTGTAAATAAAGGTATATTTATAGCTACAATTTCCCATTTTCCATATATATGGTGACTTGGGACACCCTGTATATAGATGTCAGACCTTGCTCAATAAGAACTACCACTGAAAAAGGGAATGAAATATTCTAACCCTGCTATCTGAAAAGGCAAAGAAGAAAAGTGAAACGTGTGTTAGGGACTATGCTGGGAGCTCTTTACATACTATCTTGTTTAATCTGGACAGCCCAGTGAAAGTAAGATTAATGTCATTTTAACAGATGAGAAAACAGATGCATAGGTAATAGAGAAAAAACTGGGATTCAAACTTGGGTCTACGTGTTACTCCAGAGCCTATTCTGCAGGGTGATAGTCTATAGGACCCAGTTGATTCAGCTGATAGCTTTGGTATTTATAAAGCAGATGTGATATACACAAACAAGACTCATAAAGTATAACCATAAAGCTAAAGATAATTTTTTGTTTTGCTTCTTCAAAGATTATTTTTTTCTAAACAACATTTCTCTCCTGAACAGATTTATTATTGCCAGTGAAATTATGTTTTGATAACATTTGCCAGATCGTAACTTAGCTGGTAGGAGGTGAATCATGTATTCTTTTACTTGGTAAAAAAAAAAGTTTAGTTATATTTTGTAAAAAAATCATATATGCTAACGCCATACGCACAATGGAAAAATTTATTGTCCTAGAATTTTCAAATTTGCCCCATTTGTTATTTAAAGCTAGGGAACTGATGACATTTCTTATGTCTGGAAATTGGCAAAACATTTGACATTGGAGGGGGCTGGAGAAAATAAGGTTTAATGTCCTCCCTTCACAGTTGTCATTTTCAAATGATTTGAGAATTACTAGACTTTATAGTAAACTTTCTCCAAAGCAACAGAAGATTCCTTAAATGGTGTAACTTACTGGCATGGATAACCTTGGAGAAGTTATTCTAAATACCTATTTCCTTATCTGCAAAACAAGGGTCATAGTATTATACTTATTGAATACAGTTGTTACAAGGTTCAAAATTATGTAAAATGATTAACAAGTAATGAGTGCTCAGTATGTATTAGGAATTATCATTCCTATTATTAGGGAACAATAGAACAAAAGACTATTCAAGATTCTGATACCACTTTTAAATACTGCAAACCTAGTGATTTCCAAATTTTCTTGGTACCTTAAGTGTCTCAATAGTTTTTTCATAGTTTCTCTAGGCCAATAATACCTAATGGTTTTGTTAAATATTCAGGTCCAAACAACTTAGGATTTATGTCCTGAAAGCTTAGCTGTTTGAAAAAAAATACAAAGGAAAATAGTTTTATTTAAAAATTAAAATATTTTATTTCATTTTTAAGCAACCACAATTACTGATATGTGTACAGTGCACAACTTCCTAAACTATGGAGTCAGATTAGATGTTGCTACCCTCATTTTCACATTGACAATTGTACAGTACTTTTTATCATACCAACCACTAACAACCGAGCTTCTCAAAGGTACGTCATTGAAAGGAATAAGTAAAATGCTCTAATGCTGAAACTGAATTTCTTTTACAGTTGTTTGCTCCAAACTTAAAATGTCCCATACTAACCTATGATTTCACAACAGTGCCCCAGGGCATCTCAGCACACTATGTAGGAACTGCAGTTGTAAGCCACACATGTCTTTTCATTTTTTTTCTGTCTCTTTCCTTTTGCTTTTCCAAACACCAACTTGAACCAGACCACAAATCTTCAAAGATCAGTGTTTTTTAATTGCAGTTTATTAGCCAATAGGTTGAAAAAGAGCATTTGTGATTGTACCTTTACACTTGATCTCGGCCAAAAGGCTGAGAAGTGATGATTGTGCCTTTTATACCAAAACTTTTACAGGTTGAATATCCTTTATCCAAAATGCTTGGGACAAGATATCGTTTTTTTCCTTTCTCTCTCTTTTGTTAAGAGATAGGACCTAGCTCTCACCCTGGCTGGAATGCAGTGGCACAATCATAGCTCACTGCACCCTTGAATTCCTGGACTCAAGGGATCCTCCTACTTCAGCCTCCTTACTAGCTGGGACTATAGACTTGCCCCACCATGCCTGGCTATTTTTTTTTTTTTTTAAGAGATGGGGTCTCACTGTGTTGCCCAGGCTGATCATGAACTCCTGGGCTTAAGTGCTTCTCCTGCCCCACCTTTCTGAGCTGCTAGGATTACAGGTGTGGCCAGCTGGATTTTTTGTTTGTTTGTTTGTTTAGAATATTTTTGCATCGTAACTCACCAGTGGAGCATCCCTAATCTAAAAAATCTGAAATTGGAAAAGCTCTAATACACACTGACATTCAAAAGTTTCAGATTTGGAGCATTTTGGATTTCAGATTTTTGGATTAGAGGTCTTCAACCTGTAATAACTTTAAAGAAAAGATCAATTCTGACCAAGACCATTGGTTTTTATTCTTTATAATGAGGTGGGTAAATGGGGAGAAGAGGATTTATCATAGAAATATTTTCTGTGAATGTGACCATTAGACAAAACAAGTCATACTTCGTAAATTTCCAAATTGTAATTTCATACTCAAGCACCAAAATGTCCTGTAAAGACCTTTAAGCCCCCCAAAATTTATTTTGAATTGTGATGCTTTTAAAAAAATATTACATAAGTCTATCATAATTGTAGACTTTCTTTGTTTTTATTTTGTTTTTTTTTTTTTCTGGTCCACACAGCATGGTATAGACTTTCTTTGATTTCTGATAGAAATGTGTTTATCACTTAAATTGGTGTTTTTCCCCCCTAGGCAGTAGCAGGTTTGCTGGCAGATGCTCGTTCTTTAGCAGACATAGCAAGAGAAGAAGCTTCCAACTTTAGATCTAACTTTGGCTATAACATTCCACTAAAAGTAAGTTATTAACATGTTGAGAACCTTTTGAACAGTAATAGCAGTTTATTAATAAGCTCTTCTGTTTTCACCCCGTAGCATCTTGCAGACAGAGTGGCCATGTATGTACATGCATATACACTCTACAGTGCTGTGAGACCTTTTGGCTGCAGGTATGAAATTTCAGATCTGTACTATAGATATTTATTTTCCCCAGCATCTTAGCCTTTTATACACTTGAAAATATGAACTCTTATCACAAAGTATTACAGCAATGATTAAATAAAATGGCATACATAAAAACTATTTGAATAGTGAAAGGGACTGTACAGAACTGAAGTGATTATAAAACTCATAATAATGACAATAATCTGATTATAATAAATTCTCTGTTATTGGTTCCTGATATTCTTAGGAAACCGTGAGCTCTGAAACATATACCACGTTGACATTAAGTGGCCAACTATACTTCAGTTTTCTCATTAATTTCCATGTGATATACTTTAAGCACTTGGGTAAAGTGCTTTTTAAATTTAGAGTTATTTTTTATAACAATACTTAATCCATACAAAATTACATTTCACAATTCCCATTAGTCACATTTTCTGTTGTGTAGGTGACATGTGGATATTTTTATTTTCATGGAAAGTGGGGATTCAGCTGCATAAAGACCTGAAATAAGTGTAAATATTCAAATACGGCTTCACAGAGACTTGTCATGACTAGATTTTCCTAAAATAAAAAGACATACCTGGTTTATAACTTTAAAAAAGTCATCTTTGATCAAAATAGTACATTTGCTAACATCTGAGTGCTTAGCTGTAATCCTCCCTTTGCATTGTTTGTAATCAGCCATATTTAATTATTAAGGAAGACAGATGTTAAAACCTAAGCTTTATTCTAATGGCAATCGGTTAGATCTGTGGACATTTGTTACATTACTTGTTTTTTTGAGACAGGCTGGAGTGCAGTGGCATGGTCACAGTTCACTACAACCTTAAACTTTTGGGCTCAAGCAATCTTCATGCCTCAGCCTCCCAAACAGATAGAACCACAGGTGCATGCCACTATGCAGGCTAATATTTTTAAATTTTTTGTAGACATGTGGGTCTCACTGTGTTGCCCAGGCTGGTCTTGAACTCCTGGCCTCAAGCTATCCTCCCACCTTGGCTTCCCAAAGTGCTGGGGTGACAGGCATGACTCACTGCACTCAGCCAGTGCTGGTTTCTTTTCTACTCTAAAGCAAAGAAAATATAGTCCCTTGGTATCTGTGAAGTATTGGTTCTAGGACCTCCTACAGCTACCAAATTCCAAGGTTGCTCAAGTCCTGGATATAAAATGTTATAGTATTTGCATATGACCTATGTACATCCTCCTGTATACTTTAAAAATTATCTCTGGATTGCCTATAATACCTAATACAAGGTAAATGCTTTGTAAATAATTGTTATTTTTTACTAATTAGGGAATAATAAGGAAAAAAGTCTGTACATTTTCAGTACAGATGCTACTTTTTCCCCCTAATCTCTTCTGTCTGTGGTTGGTGAATCCACGGATGCAGAACTCAAAAGATAAAGAGGGCTGAGTGTATATCATAATTTCAGAAACTCAAATTCATATAATTTAATAGCATGATTTTAATTTGTTGAGCATATAAAAATCTTCGAACCAATTCTGATTATTGCAGAACAATGATTAGAAGAAACTAGGGAAAAGAATGAAGGGTGGAAAGAGTTTGACATGGATTCAGTGTACTCTCACTCAGGAATTTTGCTGTCAGCTTTTTTGTGTTTATACTTTTACCTTTTGGGCCCTTTGGATTAGTTATTTTCCACCTGTCTATTGTTACTCCTTTCTCTCCTGCTATCTTCCCAGGAAAGAGTTTCATCAGAAAATTTAATACCAAACAAACAAAAAAAGCCACATGAATTTTGAACATGTACTAGTTTTAATTAATGCAAACTAAACTACTTTATAAAAGTGCTTACTATGACTTGTATGTGTATTAGTAATTTATCTTAGAAACTATAATTCAGTGTTTTCAATTGAATTATAATTTTTCTAAATACTTATGGTATTAAGAACCATGGTTCAAACTATTTGTTCACTTTTATGCAGTTTCATGTTAGGGTCTTACAGTATGAATGACGGTGCACAGCTCTACATGATTGACCCATCAGGTGTTTCATATGTGAGTAATTTTGAATCATTTGACTTTCTATCGTAGTTTAATGGTATTTCATTAGTATTTAAGTTTCATTTAGATTATATGAAATTTCTTTAAAACTCATTCAAGGAAAGTAGTGTTTGCTTGTTTATCATTAATAACCTATGGATATGAGGTAGAGGAAAGATATGTAGATTTCAATATATTTATAGAAACTACATAGTGAATATGATATTTTGAATATGTGATTTTCCTTCATTCATGTATTATAAATTTTAACAGTATCTTAAAAAAGTGAATATCATGTCTTCCCTTTAAGGTGGGGTTTAAATAGGATTTCTTGGAGCTTTTTCTAAATAATTATACCCTTAACTATTTCCTCCTTCTAAGGTTTTTGTGGGCTTTACTAATTGAAGAATATGAAGCTTGTTAAATATATTTTGTTATAACACAGGTATTTATATGCATCCTTTAAAAAAAAGCATAAGTGATAAATGAAGATTTAGAGTATTGAACTCATAGTAATTATTTGTCTCAGAATTTATCATTTCATTTTTTACTTGTTACAATGCTAAAGTTTTTTTTCATTCCTATTCCCCAAAATGTCTCTAATTCAAAGCATATGTGATGACATAGTTTATTTTTCTTTTGATATACTTCCATTGAAAAGAACCCAGTTTCTTGTAGAATTAAGTCTGGTATTTTGATTTTTTTGAGTCCCTTCGCATTCATCAGAATGTGTTTAGGTATGTTTTTCCATACTTTTAATAATCATTTAACATCCTTTCATTAACTTATATAAACAGAAACTGTAGTAGTTATTTATATGATAGTATACTAATACATGATTACGTATTTTGTCTTTTTCAAAAATAGGGTTATTGGGGCTGTGCTATTGGCAAAGCCAGGCAAGCTGCAAAGACAGAAATAGAAAAGCTTCAGGTAATATTTAATGCTTGAATTTTTGCTATGTCATATCTCATGCAGCGAAGTTTTACCATCACAAACTAAATGGTTTAGTTCAAGAATATAGTGTGGTTTGATGTCTAGAGCAGAGGTGCTGACTGGCTGAATAGAAAAGCTGGTTTTATCTGTAAAGTTGTATTATGGATCCCTTTATGATTTTGATGGCTGTTATAAAGCTTCAATCTAGAAAAACACAACTTTTTATATAATTTCACAAAATCCTTGAAGCCCACTCATGAATCCCTGCGAGCCTTAGCTTGAGAATTTTGGTGTTTAAATTTTGAGTTAATGTCACAGAAACAGCTATAATAAAAAGTTATACATAGTACTTTTTTCCTATATCATTTCTTTCTTTGGAACACAGTTTTTATGTCTTAGTAGTCTTATATTTAAGTGCTGGCTTTACTCTCCTCTGTTTCTTTACTTTGTACTTTGCTCCTAGCTAGATAAGGCATGGAGCCTGTCCTGCTATGAATACCCACTTTTTCTTCCCTAAGAAATTAAGCTATTAGTGTGAAAAAGTTTTCTTTAATCTGGTTTTCCTTTTAACCATAAATTGATCAACTTAATAGTGGAACAATATTCCCAAAGTCCTTATTGCTTACCTGTCAGAAACTTTCCTAAGAGGTATGTATGTATGCATATGATTTGTTAGAGTTTTGGTAAATTACAGTAAGATAAAATTTCATGTACATTTAATATTAATGTTGAAATAGAACCTTGTTCAACTAGTTACTCATTCAACTTATTTAAGGCCAGGTTCTAGAAAGTATTTGTACATGTCATTTATTTAATGCCAAGTTCTAGAACCTCCTATAAAGCCTAATTCATTATTTGGTATTTAGTAAAGTTTATAAAAGGACCTTAGAGATCAGTTAGTGTAAGCCTAACCCTGGGTTAAAAACCTATCTCAACAGTATCCAAGCCTTATGACTCTTAGACTGGTATTTTTTTTCCATCACACACTTAACTGGTGTGGTGCTAGGTTCCTATCTTCTACTCTTCCTTTTTGTTTTTTATCTTTCCATGGTATTGTGTGGAAATTTGAAAATAAGAATATTTAGAGCACTCAACTATCTTTTTGTCTTTCTGTGGTTAAATCCTAGTAAGGAATGGGAAAAAGAACAAATCCTAGCTAAAAATCAAGACAAATTACTTTGATTTTGGAATACTTATGCTTTATGACAAAAACATGCTCTAAATAAGGTGTTGCAGACTATGGCCCACTAATGCTTTTATGTAAGTTTTATTGGAACACAGCTACATTGAGTCTATGGCTGCTTTCATACTATAATAGAGTTTAATATTTGGAACAAAGAGGCCATATGACTAATAAAATCTAAGATATTTATTTCTAGTTGGTTCTTTACAGAAAGAATTTGCTGACTCCTGCTCTATATCACTGTTCTCATGTGTTTCTTCTGATGGTTTGTTTACTAAATAATAAAAACTTTGGCAAACATTATAAAAATATTGCCAGTTAAAATGTACTTTCTCAGGCTAGCTTAAGTTTGCCTTTCTAGTATGTAATTAATTCACCAAATACAGAACTTAACCAATAAGGGCAAAAATATGAAGATCAGTATTCTTCCCCTTCCTTTCACCCACCTCCAATTTTTTTTTTTTTTTTTTTTGAGACAGAGTGTTGCTTTGTTGCCCAGGCTAGAGTGAGTGCTGTGGCATCAGCCTAGCTCACAGCAACCTCTAACTCCTGGGCTCAAGCAATCCTGCTGCCTCAGCCTCCCGAGTAGCTGGGATTACAGGCATGCGCCACCATGCCTGGCTAATTTTTTCTATATATATTAGTTGGCCAATGAATTTATCTCTATTTATAGTAGAGATACGGGGTCTTGCTCTTGCTCAGGCTGCTTTCAAACTCCTGACCTGGAGCACTCCGCCCGCCTCAGCCTCCCAGAGTGCTAGGATTACAGGCGTGAGCCACCTCGCCTGGCCTTTCACCCCCCATTTAACATGAAAAAATATAAATCTCATAGGATTACAACAAACCTCTTTATTTAGACTTAAGTTATTGCTTTCCCATATTTTATCTGTTTGTATATTTTACCTGTGAACCATTTGAAACAAAGTTGCAGGCATGTTGTTAAATTCCTAAATGCTTCAGCATTCATCGACTTATATACCATTACCATAGCTAAGATACTAATAGTCCATAAAATCAAATTGCCTCAATAATCTAAACAGTGTCTTTTATAACTGTTTCAAACTGTTGATGTTCATATTGAATTTGTTCCTTAGATCTCTTTTAATTTAGTCTTCCCCCCAACAATATTTTTTAAGAGTCTATGCTAGTTGCTTTTGTTGTTGTATCCACCGAATGGATTTATCAATTTCCTAAGACCAATGAATATTCTTAAATTTAAATTTAGTGTTATGATTTTTGTTGTTCCTTCTTCCTCATGTAGTTGTGCAAGCATAGCTTTAGCATCAGGATTTCTAAATTAAGAAAATACAGGCTGGGCACGATGGCTCACGCCTGTAATGCTAGCACTCTGGGAGGCTGAGGCAGTAGGATTGCTTGAGCTCAGGAGTTCAAGACTAGCCTGAGCAAGAGCAAGACCCCAGCTCTACTATAAATAGAAAAGAAATTAGCCAAACAACTAAAAATAGAAAAAATTAGTTGGGCACAGTGGCGTGTGCCTGTAGTCTCAGCTACCCAGGAGGCTGAGGCAGGAGGATCACTTAAGCCCAGGAGTTAAAGGTTGCTGTGATCTAGGCTGATGCCACGGCACTTTCCTGGACAAGAGTAAGACTCTGTCTCAAAAAAAAAAGAAAGAAAGAAAATATATATTGACAAACCTAGTTTAAAGATATAGTAGTTGAATCACCTCAAGTCTGGACTGCTATATGATAACCATTTATTATTCACCATTTTCCATACCTGCAACGTATCCAGAAAATATGAATGCCAGTTTACTCAAACATTATTGTGATCCTGTCATGTTTGTTCAGAAACCCATATGTCTAATAATAAAATCTTGGTACTGGTTACTTATAAAACCTCAGTATAAAACTCTTCAGCTGGGCACTTAATGGCTATATTTCTACTCTGATTTCCAAGTGTTTACTAAAGGAATGCTGAATTACTTCTAATGTGAACAAGCTTTTGGCTTCCCGCTTTTGCTTTGCACAGTTCATTTAAACTTCCTAGAAATCAAACCAAGTCCATTCTGTGTTCTAAGAACCCACTCACATCTTGGTTCTTCAGAGCTTGGTATTTTGCATATCCCAGATATTTTGCATTTTTGTCTTGAATAGTTCTGTGAGGGATAATTTACCCTACTCTTTCATTTTTCAGTATCTTGTATATAGTAGGCCATTTCTTTCATGGTTTATTTGCATTTTGTTACCCTAAATTGGCTATAGAGAAAATCAGATTTCTAATCTTTCAAACTTCTAAGTCTGCCTAGGAATAGATTTCAAAGAGGGCTCTGAGTTTTTATAAATTTTATCACAAAGTTAGTGGTACCTATGGATTATACAGAATATCTGTTTTGGTATATTAATTTAAAAACATTAGTTGTAAATCAGAAAACCCAGTTCTGAGTTTTTTTGACTTTCAGTTATTTTCCTTGGTTTTATATCTATCTCAAGAATATGGGGGTTATTGATAAAAGTTGTGAAAATAGTTAAAATGGAAAATGGTGTTCTTTTGACTCATAATTTACATTTTATTTTCTGTAGATGAAAGAAATGACCTGCCGCGATATTGTTAAAGAAGTTGCAAAAATGTAAGTTAGAATTAGAATTTTCCTTACCATCTACAAAAATATTTAACTTGACCTTTCCCTATATGTCACACTAATTGTAAGATGCTGTTTTGTTTGGTAATAACTTAAGTGTATAAATTTTAGAAGCTGAATTTAACATTCTAAGAAACCTCTTTGAGGAGAATATACTGTTAATAACTAAGTTACATTTTCAAGTAATAATGAATAGAATGGGAAAAAATAGCCTTTGCCCAAATAAACTGCTAGTAAGTGACAGGTTAAAGGTAGGAGGACATAAAGTGGACCTTTAGAGGCTTCATTTGTTAGCTCCCAACTTCTCAAATCTCATAAGTCCCAACAATAATCTTAGCTTGCCTCCAAGAGAGCTTATTGCTTTACAGGTAATTATTTATGCATGATCCATGAAACTGACTTATTTATATTCTTTGGGAAAGATACATTTTACTTTTTCAGGTTTATCATGAAAGTTCATGTAACAAGATGAGAAAAGCAGTATTTCAAAACATTTACAGCTTAAGAAAACCTTAGTGATTTATATATTACAGGTATATAAAGTAAAATACTATGTAACAGGTATTTAGAATAGTAAGCAACAACAAAGTTAATAAACCTGGGTGATGATGCTTCAGAAATTCATGATTCTTTCAGATCAGAGTGTGGGCATTTGATATGCAAGGGAAAAAAATCCTAGCAGGCTCTATGGTATAATAATAAATATACTATTTAAGTAACACCCATAATCTCTTCTAAACTGATAGTTTTGCCCTAGTGGTTCATCATTCCTGCTACTGCCATTACCCCTTCCTTTCTATCCCACCTCACCTTTTGTCTTCAGTTGTGAAGCAAGCAGAAGGCATTCTATGATAGTCAGTTAATAACAGGAACACTGGGAACTAGCATACATTAGAACTGCTAAAAAAGAAAGTAAATAACCTTACTGAATTGTACAACAGTTTTAACATGATAATATTGTTTCTTTCACTGAATAAATCCTTTGAAGTGCTTCTGGAAATCCACCCTTATCACCTTTTATGTTTCAGTAATAGTAGTCATCTCTTCCTTTCATGTAGGAAAGCCATCTCTTCATTTAATAAAATGGAACACCATGGATCTTTTATTTAGTTCTAAAAAATTAAGATGCTCTTATATTATAGCAAGGCTTTAAAAGACCCTCCAAAGTATGGATGTAAGGCAGTAGAAAGTATAACATAAAGCTACACCCGGATACTGTACTTCATTTTTTTCTTCCTGGTTTCTTTTTTCTTTTCTTTTTTTTTTTTTTTTTTTTTGAGACAGCCCCCCACCATCCAGGCTGGAATGCTGGGGCACAGTCATAGCTTACTATAACATCAAATTCCTGGGATAGAGCAATCTTCCTGATTTAGCCTCCCAAGCAGCAGGGACTATAGGCACATGCCAACATGCTTGGCTTTTTTTTTTTTTAATAAGAGTTGGGGTCTTGTTATGCTGCCCAGGCTTGTCTTGAATTTTTTGGCTCAAGCAGCCTCCCAAAGTGCTGGGAATATAGGCATGAGCCACTATGCCCCTTGCCTATACTTAAGTTTTTGATACTTTCTTTCTGTTACTTCATTATGTTGCATGAAAATGCTTCCTTGTTGCTGCAGTTTGTAATATACTGCAGTGTGAAGGCCAGGTTAAGTGGCATATAAACCATTATAAAATGGTCAGAGGTTTTTAAAAGATTACTGCCCAGAAGCTGTACATCGAAGAGACCGGTAATAGTTGCAAGACATAAGTTACATGGTTTTAAAAATATTTGGTTGCCTGTAGTCCCTACTACTGGAGAGGCTAAGGCAGGGGGAGCACTGGAGCCCAGGAGTTGAAAGCTGTAGTGTGCTATGATCCTTACTGAACTCCAGCCTGGGCAACATAGTGAGACCCCATCTCTTAAAATGGTTAATTAACAGAAAAAAATAAATACCCTGAAAAGGCACAGTTAGTGATGGCCTTTTCCCATTGAATCCATATCTTTAAAACAATTTATCAAAATAAACTGAACTTGGGTTGTATAGGTATATTCAGTATTTGTAGGGAGAGCAAAAGTGTTTAATTTTATCTCTATCCCTGTGTGATTTGTTATCTTTTCTAGTGTTCATAATAATATAGACTGTAGAATGTGTGTGTAATTTTATAAATAAATATTTTTATTAGGGATGTGCATTCTAATTTGTACTGACTGTGGGTGGGTGAACTACAATGTTTGGAGGTTGCCAAAAATGTTAATTTTTCCTTTTCTGTTCTAGAATTTACATAGTACATGATGAAGTTAAGGATAAAGCTTTTGAACTAGAACTCAGCTGGGTTGGTGAATGTAAGTCATTTCTATACATTTACTTGATAATGCATCATCTTACTGCACCTAATTACCACTGGGTGTCCTTTCTAATATAAAGAAAGCCAAAACAATTTTACCAGGTAGTCTAATGAGGAGAAAGTTCTTTTTAATAATTGACTTAAGGCCAGGCGAGGTGGCTCACGCCACGGCACTCTAGCCCAGGCATCAGAGTGAGACTGTCTCAAAAATAAATAAATAATTGACTTAAGTTGTGAACAATTTACTTTTTGAAACATCCATTTCATGATTTTAAAAGATATTACTGAGAAATCACCAACTTTTTTCTCTCTAGCATAGTAACCACAGGGTTTCAAGGCAGGATATTTTAAAAATCTAACCATGTTATAGATTAATGCTCAGGATTTATAAATCATGGTACATAATTTACTCATTTCCACAAGAGCTTGCTTTGATTTGGGCACATTATAATCTCATGTGGAAGAAACACAAAAATGAGTTCAAAGCATCTAGTATTACTCATAGTACAATTTTGCATCATTAATTGAGTTATACCTGTGGATTGGGTAGATTGTATGGTATTGCAAATCACAACATACTTCTCATTTTTAATTCATTTAAATATATGGCTTAATTTACAGTAACTAAAGGAAGACATGAAATTGTTCCAAAAGATGTAAGGGAAGAAGCAGAGAAGTACGCTAAGGTAAGCCACAGCATAAAAAATTCTCTAAAATCATGTGTTAAATAATAAACAAACTTGGTTGAGTTTTATTAAATAACACCAGAGTTCAAGTGAACTAAGGATAGAAATTTTTTAGGTTCTCTCCAGTGAGGACAAAGTTGCAGTCCTGGTTCCAAAAGGAAAATTTTTTTGTGAAAAGTGCAAGGGATTTTCAGGACATTTAATGCTTTCATATGTACATATTCTATCAAGGATATAGTTGTTGATTGTTACAGCAAGATTACTAGGGTACCTTCTAAAACAGTGTTCACTTCAGGTTATAAGTAAAGGAAGTTTTAATGACAGGTGCTTAATTGAGGCTATTGTATCTTAACTTGCCCACTAATTTTCTCTTAACAGGAATCTTTGAAGGAAGAAGATGAATCAGATGATGATAATATGTGACCTTTCTTCCAGTATCTGTTCTATTTTAAATTTCTACTACAGTCCCATGTAACTATTTAGCCCTGTGGATTAAACATAGTTAACTGACCAATTTTCATTAAATTTTTGTCTTGTAACTATTGAAGCTTGGTTAATATCTGCCTGACAAAATTAGTGGGGGTAATTGAAGACATTTACTTACTATTAAAATACAGATTTATGCCTACTTAAAAGTTCCTTTATTAAAATACTATAAAATTAAGGTTTGGAATAGATGAATTCAAAGCCCTATTTCATCACTCATCTAAAATTTAAACATATTTTCCTGGGTTCTGTATTAAAAGAACATACCAACTCAGTAGTAAAATGATTGGTGGTCGTCAGCCACTGTTAATCTTTAGGTGTGATGCAGATGAAAGATGTTTCGATTTGGGATAGTTTTTTCAAAAATAGACCTTTACTATAGAAGTCAAGAATGTTTTTGCTTTTTTCCTTAACTGTGGTGAAAAAGAATGGACTTAATAATCAATAAAGTCCCTATTTTGTCACTTGAAAAATTTCTTGATCTATAAAGTTCAAATAAAAATACCCACACCAGATAGCTTTCATGCTAAAAATAAATAAGAATATATGTGAAAGTGCTCTGTAAACAGAACTGTTACTAAGTGGAATAATCAATAATGTAGCCTGGAAGAACAGCTGTCACAACATGAACAGCAGTAATCACAGCAGGAACAAACAATTTGAACTCTGGCCAGGTATGCACACCCTTTATTGGGCTCATGCCAGTATCACTTCATTCAAGTGTTATTTCCTAAGAAGGTAATCTGGTTACAGAGTTTAGCCGCAGGGTACTGCTGGACTTTGAGCATTTGTGTAGTTTAAATAGCAAATCATTATACCTGAATAGCTAACTACTATATAAACAGCTCAAAACCAATATTTCATTACCATGGCTTCTTTTATGTAACATTACCTGCTACATTTTACATCTCATATATTTAACTGAGAATGACACAAATGTTGGCCTTGGGAAAACACATGCATACCAAGTTGCATCCATTAACAGACAGATAAATTGACCATCCCTGAGTCAATCCATGGCCATTCCTATACTTTCCCAAAGCACATGAATCTTCTTATTGTGCTTTGAGTTATCTGTTCTTAAATTTACATCAGTATAGTTATGAACTGTCTTTAAAAGAGAAGACATTGGTTCTAAAGCAAAACTTAAATTTGAGCACCTAAGCCACTTGTAAGCTACTATAGGTGCATAATATAAGCTAAATCTAGAACTATTTAAGCAGATACACCAAGCTCTATAGCCATTATGAAAGAAAAACAAATGAATTTTCATACACACTGAAACACAGGATAAACAGATCTAGGTTCAATTGTAGGGGCACTTTGTAACCACCACCAAGATATGATTAGCCTCAGGAAAAAAAGCTGGTATACTTTACTTTCACATGAATACATTTATTTTCAGAAAAGATTGAGTACTTTATCACCATAAATCATCTTGATACTGGTACCTAAAAAATGTTTTAAAGAATAAAGATTTGGTTTAGAAATTACAAATAATGTTTAGACTATAGAAGCACTTACCAGATAAGACTATCTTTTTATTTCAACCGTTAATAAAGAGACCTAAATAAGAAAATTAAGTTGTAGATCGTCAGTGTTTAACTGACTGACACATTAAAACACTCTTTATTTCATAGGATAAGCAGTAAATTAAGATTAGAAATTAATATTTTCTTCATTTTATAAGAATATCCACATATCAAAATGCTGATAAGAAACCAGAAAAAATCCTAAATGAAAATGTCTTAATGTACAACACTAACTCCTAATAGTTTCACTAACTTTTGAATACCTTACCCTTTGAAAATGGAACCAGCCCAGACTTGACATATTTTACTTTTCCTACACCCCATCATATCCATATTATATTCCCCATACCTAGGCTATTTCTTAACTGGTCTAGGAAATTCCTCAGGACTCCCACAACCTGCCAAACAAAGCCTCCTAAAATGATTGTTAAAGTTCTCCTGCTCACAGCCCCATTACATGTTTATTTAATAGTTGTCAAACTTTTTTATTAAAAGGAACTCCAAAACATGAAATGAGTAGTAACATGGCTGCTTGTAACCCCAACCAAGTAAAGATGTTGTGTTCTACCACTGACCATGTGTGTGCATCTATTGTGGCTTAAATATAATAAAATTAGTGTATATGCCCCCAGTCTGGGAGTCGTTAAAAAAAAAATCATGTCTTTGGATCTTGACTGGTTTAAGCACACAATAAGCATTCAGATGTTACAGGCACACATTTCTTACAGAAGTAATTCACATTAACTGAAGGATAAGGTATACTATTTTAAAAACACTGGTTCAGATATGTATTGATCAGAAACTTCTAAATTAAGAAAAGCCCACTGGTTTATCTGAACAGATCTGGAAGATTGAACCTCAGAAAATATAAAATGTGGGGGAACCAATTCTTTCATGAAAGCACAGTAGGATTTTTCTTGTTTAAAAGAAGTTAGGGTTTCCTGTCTATTCTAATACAATCACAATGATTTTAAGAAAACTAGCATCATAATTAAAAGCAGGATATTGGTTTATAAGCTCATACAGGTTTAAGTCTGGCTTTGTCATTTACTTAATTATCTCTTCTATAAAATGAGGATTAGTTACCATTTAAAGTGACAACAAAATGGAAATACTTAGGTGTGAAATTAATTAAATTTGTATAAGATTTTAATGTTAAATTGTAAAATGATTACAGAAAATAAAGGAATAAAGTTATCAGAAGACTATTTTAAGATGTCACTTCTCCCCAGAGTGATTCAATGTAAAAGAGGCTTTTTGGGAGAGAAGGGATAGAAATCAACAAACTGTTTCTAAAAATTTATATAGGGAAAGTAAAGGAATTAGAAGAGCCAATACAATTTTGAAGAAGAACAAGTGAGAAGACCCATACTACCTGATTTAAAGACTATTTACTATAAAGTAAATAAAACCACCCCAAACAAAAACCTCATACCATACCTTAAGTAACTCAAAAGTGATCACATACCAAAATGTACATCAAACTATGATATTTCTAGAATAAAACACAGTAGATCTCTGTGACTGGTTTAAGAAAGACTTCTTAGATACTACACCAAAAGCACGATAAATAAAAGAAAGAAATTGACAAATATTTTCACTAAAATTAAAAGCTGCTGCTTTTCTAAAAATACTGTTAAGAGAATGACAAGGCTGGGAATGGTAGCTCACACCTATAATCCCAGCACTTTTGGGATGCCAAGGCAGGAGGATCCTTGAGCCCATGATTTATTTTCTTTGAGACTAGCCTGGGTGACATAGTAAGACCCTGTCTGTACAAAAAAATTTAAAAAATTAGCCCATGTGTTGCTGATACTTGTAGTCCCACCTACTCAGGAGGCTGAAGCAGGAGGAAAGCTTGAGCCCCAGAAGTTGGAGGCTGCAGTGAGCCATGATTGTGCGTGCCACTGCACTCCAGCCTGGGCAACAGAGCAAGATCCTGTCCCTTTAATAACAACCAAAAAAGAAGGACAAGACAGGAAAAACTCTGGGGAAAAAATATTTGGACATTACATCTGACAAAGGACTTGTGTTCAGAATATATAAACTCCCAAAATTGAATATGAACCCCAATTTTTAAAAATGGGCAAAAGTCAAATGGAAAGTTCACTAAAGAAGATACATGAATGGTAAACATGTATGTGAAAAGATGCTCATTATTTGTTAGGAAAATGCAAATTAAAACCACAATTAAAATCATTCCACATCTATTAGAATGTATACAATTAAAACTGCACACATTCTGACCACACTAAGCATTGGTGAAGATCTGGACTAACAGGAATGCACATTGCTGGTGGGAAAGCAAAATGGTACAGCTGCTTTGGAAAACAGTTTGGCAGTTTCTTATCCAGTTGAACACTTGGCACATAACCCAGGATTACTCCTCCTAGATGTTTACCTAAGTGAAATGAAAACTTAGGTTACATGATTCACACATACTGTATGATTCCAATTGTATGACATTTTAGAAAAGGCAAACTGTAGGGTCAGAAAAACAGGTAAGTGGTTTTCAGGGGTTGGGGATGGGAAGAAGAGATTAAGCACAAAACTTTTCATACTAATGGAAATGTCCTATATTTTGATTGTGTTTAGTTAAAAGACTTTAAGTTTGTTAATATTCATAGTTATACATATAAAGGGTAAATTTTACTATATTTAATTGTACCACAATAAACCAGACTTAAAAACTGCCTAGTATATAGAAAATGTTGAAATGCAAGGCATTATCCTTTCAATTCAATTCGGCATCTATGTACCACCCTAGCATGTATGCCATGTTATGTATGTATGTCCTAAGTACACTGGATAAACCTAGTCTCTATAACATTGTCTTACTATATAGTATCAGTAAAGGGACATTCAATTTTAATCCAAATATATCCTAGTCTTTGGTTCAACATTAATTCCCTATAGAACATAAAGAACACAGAAAATAGAAAACATACTCTTGCATTTTAGTTTATAAAAGGAAAGGAAGCTAAATTTAGAGAGATCTTATTTTTATAAAACCACTAAATGATATCTCTTATCCTCCCTTTATTTTTTTTCTCTGCTAGTGACTTTATTCTTAAATCTATAATAGAACTCACAATAGCAAAAAACATGAAAAAAATTCAGATTAATATTTATCAACCAACTACATCAGAGAATACATTTATTTTTTATATGACTACAATTCCTAAAATGTGCATGTTAGAATACAAATATTCTCCACTTTGTGGAACTTCAAGGTAACGAAGAATTGCTTAATATAGTTAGAAAAACTCATTACACTGTCAAATACATCCGAAAGAAATGTAACTGGTAAAATAACTATTTCATGGCTAACCTTTTGGTAAAGTACTATCTTCATATTGAAAAAATAAATTAGTAGAGATTAAAATTTTTTAAATGCTGAACCATCAATCTGAAAGGGTTAAGATGTTTTAGTATTCGCTATGTTCATCATATTCATATTTCCCCAATATGATATGATAAACATTATCTTAAAAAAAGTTTTTTCATTGAGATTATTTCCTGGAAG